GATGACTGGCCCCCTCCACAGTCATGTGACCACTATGTGGGTACTTGATGACTGGCCCACATTTATGGCCATTTGCAGTGTCCCATGGTTACAGATAGCACTTTACATATTTTGCCAGAAACTAGTGTTTATTTCTGGTTTCCAGAAAAAATAATGGTTCCCTTAACAACCATGGTGATTCACTTAACCACCAGAAAAAATCTTGCAATATCAGACACATGATGACTCACTTAACAACCAGCACAACTGTAATTCCAGGCTTAATTATGGTCCTAAGTCAAGGAATACTTATATGTGAACAATAAGGGACATAGGAGTTTAAGTTATGCAATGTATTAAAATGTAAAATCTGGAATTTTTCATATGCTTCAATGTCTCCTAAGGGTCAGCTTGGAAAATGTCTTGACATTCCTTTCAAATTATAGGACCATAAGCATCATTGTAAACTGTGACTTTTTATATTTTTAACATCACCTATCTGGGGGTTTCCCTTTTCTTTTCTTTTTTTAAAAAGTGGGTGTTTTTGTTCAATAAAATCTAATTTAAAATCGTGGTCTAATTTGCCTTTCTTGATTTTGTTTTTTCTCTTGGAAATAAGACCTAGTTCTTGTGACTTTTGCAAATAGAAAACAAGCTAGTGCATTGAAGACATTGTAGTTGTATACATACCTGAAATATACCATGAACTCAACGGATCTTAACCTCTGAACTGGCTTGCAGTCAATGGGCTATGATCTCAGCAACCAAATTTCTGAAACAATTTGCAAACTATACCTAGACAATGTACACTTTCTTATAGAATGAAGCATATTGTGTGTACTTCTATAGCATGTGGGAAATCAGATAATTCAAGGGTTGGGAAAAGGATGTGAAAAGGAGCAAACAAATTGCCATGAAAACACTATTCTGTTTTGATTTTTAATTGTAGCTATCAGGGTGGTTGTATTCTATGGGGAAATTAATATTACCCAATCATGTACATTCCTCAGATGTAAGAATTTTCAGTGGAACTCATGAGGACACTATTTAATGTCAGACTAACATAAGAAAATCTGCATTTGGCTAAACTTGGACTTAGTATTAAACACTTTTATTCTGACAGAATATAATTCCACAAATATCCAATGAATTTTGGATATTATATAGCAAAAGGAAATTCAGTTATTGTCAGCCTCTATATTGCTTGTTTGCTTGCTATTGGCTGCCATAGTAACGGGGAAGGATGGGGGTTTCAGTATTTGGGAGGGAAATTGTGCGATCTCGGGGCGAAAAGGGAGTTTTGTTCTCACCATCTTCTGCGCATGCTGAATGGCCTTATTTAGGTCTGGTCAACGTCAACCATCTCGGCATACCAGATGGACGAGACTACCTGAAGATGCACTCCACAAGATACCCTTGGGGGCTGGAGATTGGATATTTAGCTTGGGGTTGTTGGAGGGAGGGATTTGGGTAAACTTTTGATATGAACAATTTTGCGCCTTTTAGCCTCAGATCTTGCTTTACTATTGTTGCTTTCACTTTATATAAAGTCAAAGTACCTTTTCTCTAAAACAATGGAGTTGGGGGTTTCCTTTCTTGAATTTTGAAGAAGGTACATCTGACAGTCTTGTTTTCCATAAATGAAGAAATGAATATAAAATGCTTTATTCCAGGAATCAGGGATCAGAGTGATGAGGAATTTTCAACAAGTTATAGTGGGAGGGCGGAGCACATCTGTTCCTTGGGAACTGGTCTCCCAAATGTGAGTTGTGCTGCACGATTGCTTTATCTGAATTAAAGTATCATCACTGAAACTATTTCTGCCATTTCAAGACCTAATCAACAGCTCCCCAAAAGGGCCTCAATTGAAGACAATTCTAGCTGGCTGCACATCATGCCTGTGCCCAAAACAGCATTTCCTTTGTCTTCAATTGGAACTTAGTTGTTTCTTTTTGTTTGTAAAACCTTCTGAGGCAGCTGTGTGTGTGTCCTCCTTTCTTGCCACAAATGTGAAAGGCAGAAAACAATGGTAGCTGGAGGTTCATAAACTCCCAGATGACATGAAAAGTCTCTCCTAGATGTTTCAGTCTTAGCCCTTCAAATTTTTAGATGTCTTGGGGAGGCTAGAAACTTCAAAAAAGTGAAGCATTTCTTAGCTGATGGCTCTTGTGAACAAAGATGCTGAATGCCATTCTCTCTTTAGAACAGATACTTCTGCATGTAATCAGCAAATTGGGGAGCGGAGAGGTGAAATAGTGTACAATGTTCATTTTTAGAAAATTTGACCAAAAGCAGCCAGTGACTGCCATTGCTGTAATAAGATCCCTTCAGAGTTTAATGATTTTGGTCTCTCTTCCACTCAGCTTAATGTTCTCACATGGCCTCTTGAGAGAACAACGTTCGTGGCCACTTTGCTGCATTCCAAATGTGGCAGCAGAGTTCTGCTGATTCAGCACACCCCTGCTCGTCCGGAGGGAGCCCTGGCCAGTTTCCTGAAAGTATTCCCTACAGGCATTGCTGAGTACTTCAAAACAACATAGGGCACTAAATTGTTGTTGTTTTTCACCCTCTAGACTGGACTACTGCAACGTGCTCTACATGGGGCAGCCCTTGAAGAGCATTNTTATTTATATGTCATAATTATTAATTCTAATTAATTGTATTTCCCCCTTTTTTGATATCTATTTTCATTCTAGGCTCTAGGAAATCATGAATTTGATAATGGTTGGAATGGATTATTGGATCCCCTCCTTAAAAATGTAAATTTTTCTATACTGAGTGCAAATATTAAATCAAAAGCGCCAAACACAACTAATATCTCACAGTACGTCTTTCCTTATAAAATAATAAAAGTTGGTTCAGAGAAAGTGGGAATTATTGGCTATACTACAAAGGAGACACCTGTTCTTTCAAATCCAGGTACACTTTTTTTCATGCTTATATATAAAATTACATAGGTACAATAATTATATAACTAAATGTACTAGTGATTGCATCATTCCCACCATATTTCATTTCTTTTCTGGCATGAAATTGGGATTGTGTTGTCTTTCACAGTTGTAAGAGAAAAAAGTTAACTGCCAACTAGGTGCTGAATTTTATACAGAATATGAAATCTGATATAGTTTCTGCTCTCTTTTATGTGACTGTAACATGGATTGAGGTTAACAGAATTAGTGATTTATTGCAGATTGGGAAGAGGATACTGGCTGATGATAGAATGAAGTGAAGCAATTTTAGGAAAAGCTTATCTGGAGGAATGAAAGATTGTTGAAGGAAAGAATTGGTCTGAAGACCAGAAGGGACCATGCAAGTTGAACCATAATTTTCAGAATATTTGCGGTTTGACCCTTTCTCAAATGCATTTTTATATATTTAGAAATCACAGATTTCCTCATTTTAATAATTGTTATTTTAAGATTTTATGGCACACAAAAATAATCTTCAGCACAATCCTCTTGGCCACTAATTTTCCTACATGATACCAATTTTCCCTTGAGTTCAGCTAGGCACATACGAGACTGTATCAACATTCAAAATAAAAAAATAATATGATGATGATATAAGAAAAAAACATCTTAATTTTGTAAATATTCAGGAGAATATAGTCAGTTTAATATCTATTGTCGCAAATTGATAGGCGCAATAATCTAATAAAAGTTGGGCATATAGAGAAATAAGTCCCCCTAAAGGAAAATCACCATGGATTCTACAAACATAAAGATTGACTCACCAACCATTTAGAATTTATTGAGAACTTAGTAGATAGATNATCTCCATAGACATTTTCAGGAGGAGGAGGATTTTGAAAAAACCAGCTATTGAAGCAACAGAACTTCTGTGGTGCAAAGATGGAAGGGAGAGAGGAAGGAAGGGGAGAGGAGAGAAAAGAAGGAAAGGGAGTGGGAGAGAAGAAGGAAGGGGAGGGAAGAAGAGGGGAGGGTTAGGGTTAAGAGAAAAGAAGAAAAGAGAAGGAGGGGAGGAGAGAGAAAGGAAGGGGAGGGGACAAGAGGGAAGGGGAAGAGGGAGGGAGAGGAGGAAAGGGAAGAGAAGAGTGGGAGGGAGAGAGGGAAGGAAGGAGGGATGGGAGAGAGAAAGAATGGAAGGGAGAAGGGAGGGAGGGGAAGAGGGGGTTTGAGGGAGGGAGCAAGGAAGGAAAATAGAAGAAAGAAGGATTAGAAGGGAAAGAAGGAGAGATAGAGGAAGGAAGGAAGGAAGGAAGGAGAAAGGAAGGGAAGTAGATGAATAAAAAAAGGGAAGGGGAAAGATGTGGGTGGGGGAGAAGGGGAGGAGAGAATTACCCTTTTTAAAAATTCTAGATTCCAAAGCTGTATCTCTGCAATATTATATACAAATCTGGAGAAACAGCCCTTCCTGTGTGGCTGTAATTATCCTTCTGAATTGTCAGGTTGACTCATGAAATCCGTGTCATTATATTTGGACCTCCTATTTTTACTGCTGTTGTTGTTTTGTACCTCAGAACAAAACCAAAGAGCACATTATGCTGCTTACAAAAAGTCAACCTTATTTTTCAACTGATCGCTATCATCTCATAAAAAGATCTAGTAATTGATTTCTAATTTTAGGAAATTCCAAAGAGACGTGGGGGAGGGGGAGGGGAGGAAACCATCCACTGAAGCACCTCTGCAGTCTTCATTGTTCTCTATAAACAGTGGGGAGGTCCGAGTTCTAATCCTCCCTCACCAACCAAAACGGATTGGCTGAATTTCAGGGTAGCCCATCCCTCTCCATCCAAGAGCCAATCAGGGATTGTGAGAAAGGGGATGGACCAAGACTGAGTTCTAGTCCCTCCTCAATTCCAGAAGCTCATTGGCTGACTCCGGGGCAGACCCTCCCTCTCAGCGCAAAGACCCATTCAGATGTAACGGGGATTGGGGCGGAGCTAGAGGTGTGGAGAGCTGGATTCCAGTCCGACCTCAGTCCGAGAAGCTCATTGGCTGATGCTGACCCAGTCCTTCCCTCTCAGCCCAGGACCCAATCAGATGTAATGGGAGATTGGACTGAGGGAGGATGAGTTTTAATCTGAGAAACTTATTGGCTGAGTCTGGATCAGTCCCTCCCTCTCCTCCCAATCCTTCTCTGCCTGTCCCTGTCGAGGCATCCTACCTCACAGGGTTGTCGTGGAGAAACTGGGATGGCGGAGTGCTATGTGTGTGTGTGTGTGTGTGTGTCTGTCTGTCTGTCTGTCTGTCTGTCTGTCTGTCTGTCTGTCTGTC